AGAGCTAACAGAAATGTTAATAAGTCACATTATATTTTACTATAAGGAAATGTGAGTAATAAGCCAGATTATGTTTCATTTGTCATTACTTCTGTGTGTGTGTGTGTGTGTGTGTGTACATGACTAAAGCCCTGCCTGTACACTGGAAATGTCTTGATTATTCCCAATGAAACATTAGAAAGGGCATTATTTCAAGAGATCATCTGACTGCTAGTGGAAAAGCTAACTGTCTAATTTCATGTACTACAAGTGACCTTGCAATTATCTTTCCTATGGAGAGACAAAATGTGCCACTCTAGGTGAATGACACAGAACAATAGGTAGCTAAATCAACAGTAAATTATGTAACATCTTGACCAATGTTTCATGTGAAAACTGCACAGGTCTGCACAAATAAATTTTGAAAACTTCCAAGAGGGAGGTAGAAAACATTTGGTATGCTTATATATATATGCTGCAAATGTACATATACTTCTGTACACCATATCTGAAAAACTGATAAGTAATGAGCAAAGTGCAACTATTAGTATTTTAGAAATTGAACTAACATGTAAAAAGCTACTCCTTGAGATTGAATTATACAGTAGGAATAGAGATCTTGCAAAACAGTGTTGCTTCTATTCTTTATACACTTTATATGATGTAGAAAACATTCTTATAAAGATTATCTGGAGCATCTAGAGATTATCATGGCGACATTTGGGAGAAAATGGAACTTGTACGGGCCTCTTCCGCGCATCCCCTGAACCCTCATTTTGCACCCCCAGGGGTGCCAATACCCCTGGTTGGGAACTCCCTGATCTAGAGGTTTTTTAAATAATCATAGCAGCTAGTAAAAATATGTGGTTATTTTTTTACCATTTGCTCCATAATCTCCTTTTATTCTTCTTTTGATTGTATTTTGAAGAGATAGTCCTTTTAGTGTTATCGTGTAAGCTAGGCCAACCTTTTACAAGTGTAGCAAATGCGATTATAAGAGTTTGCAGTTTAGTTTCTTCTCTGAGAACATTTTGAAACATAAGCTTTTCATATCTATTTTGTTTACCTTTGGCTTTTGGTTCAGTCAGGTTGTGATAAAAGTACAGATAATTTACCCAGTATCCTCTGTTGATTGGATTTATAGATCCTGATTAAACACATGTATAAGTATTATCTTATCATAAAACATGATTATGTTGTATTTTGACCTCTCTCTTTTTTTGCAGTTCTATGTCTTCTAAGTGAAGTAAAAAAAAACTAATTTGGGATTTACCTCTACAGTGTGGTTACCTGTTGTTTTGCTGTAGCTAGTTGTCATCATTGAAACATGTTGTAGCTGTTAGATTTACTACAGGATGAGCTGTAATAAAGAGGGGGTTAGCAAGAATGGGGAATTTTCAAGTTGCAACATTTTTTAAATAATTAGTTTATGTAGATTAGCTGTGTTTCAAGATTTTAAGTTCAAAATAAAAATTAAAAGCAAAAGGAAGTGAAACTGATGTAAATGAAGATGTACGATGTGTTGTGGCGTAGCTAGAATGTTAATATACTAAACTTTTATTTACAGAAAAGCTCAAAATATATAATGGTCACTAATCATGACTTGAATCTGTGACAAGAGATTTTCTGTGGTTGGAAGAAGAGCAGAGTTTCAGTAAAGATTAACAAGTTCCCCTTTTGTTGAGTCCCATTTTAGAGATGTTAATGATTCCTGCCATGTTTACTATACTGTTTCTGTTCTGTATGAACATTTCCCTGTTTTATATTAAATAATCGCTGAATAAACGTTACATTTTATTAATCTACAAGTTATTTGGAACATGCTTTTTATTTTCTTTCAATATGTATGGTACTCATCTTATTAGACATTCAGTCTAATCTTTATAAGTACAAGTGTAAGAAGGGTGTGTTTAATTAGCTGTACTTACCGTCTGGTCGATTTGTAGTTTTGTTTTCAGTCGATATATTACTCTAATTTGAAGTTAATATCAATTGTTAACCTGAAGTTTGGTAATGATTGGAAATATGGAATCTGTATAACATGTTTTATATACTCACCATCTATAAAGTAAAGAAGGGTGTGTTTAATTAGCTGTACTTACCGTCTGGTCGATTTGTAGTTTTGTTCTCAGTCAATATCTTACTTTAATTTGAAGTTAATATCAATTGTTAACCTGAAGTTTGGTAATGATTGTAAAATTTCTCCTTGTCACTGTTTTTACAGTTCAGTTTCAGTTTTCATGTATTGAGATACAAAAGTTATTGTTACAAAAACTTGCACATATTGGAATTCACAAAAATGTTTTAAATTCCTTATAAAATGATTAACATTGTCTATCTGCCATGATAAGTGCTTCAAAAAAAAAAAAGCAAAACATGTTATACACATATCGTATTCCATTGTAATTAATTTACTTTATGGATGGTGAGTGTAGTTGGGTATTCTAAGGTCACTACATGACCTTTTATATAACAAAACATCCTGCAAAAATATTTAACTGTTTATAAAACAAATAAAACACCGTTACATAACTGCTTTACAAAGCAATTTGAGAAAACCTTGCTACCCTTTGAAGCTTACAATACAAATTGTTAGATGACAACAAAGGTGCAGAAAACCTTTACGTTGTTAGTTTATTTTTCATAAACTTTGACAGCAGTTGCACTCACATTTATCTGTTTTAATTTTGAACATAATTTAATAGCTTTATGCTATACACGAACGATATATGCATCTATACCGTATACTAAAGTAAATAGATACCCATTCTGGAAAGAATGATGTTTTATAAAATAAACATGAAGCAAAGGGTACAAGAATACCATTAGTATTTAGTGAATCTGCTCTTTATAATATTTAAAGCAAAAACATGGTTATACATCACGATTACGAGATCTTAAATGTGAGTCTGTGGATTGCATTCAACACCTGTTTAAAAATGTGGATGAAGGTTTTCCTCAAAGTTGGTTGTTTTAGATGCTTTCTTGGGATGTGATCAAAGATGGATTTTTGGCTTGATAGGCCTCATATCCAGCACTTAGCCTGGTCATGAAAGAGTGGTGATGCCTTGACCTACAAGCCATCATTTGTGACTTTGGATTTATGACCAGGAGCCATACTTTGCATAAAAACACTGCCTTTTCTGATAAGCTGACTAGCGACGTACCAGTAGAAGGCCTTGTTTGAGAGTTATGATGTATTCAACATTAGTAACCATCTCTTTACTTACCATAAGCTGCGATCATCAAGCCGCCCAGAGAGCACCGTGCATCATAACTGAAATACCACCATAATACATCATTTCTTGCAGATGATTCAATGAGAATTCCTATGAGAAAAGTTCCCAAACCTAGGTGCATCCACTTTCCAAGAAATTAAAATGTCCCAAATGGCAAAAGGGATCTGATAGCATCTGTGATGGCTGCTGTTATTGACATATAATATTGCCTGAGATGAGGAGTGTTTTCCTTCCAGCTACTCTATCATAGTATCCCTCTGAGGGTATTGAGGTGCACTCGTATTTGATCTGCAACAGTATCAGACATTTATTGTGGGTCATTCTCCACACTTCACAACACAAAGTGTCTGTTCTTTTGGTTTTGGATGCTTGGGTCATGCAGAAACTGTTGTTACCCTATTCATGTATACCATGGTATTACAAGTGACAGGTGGATCTCCTGCTCACACATTGTCAAATTATACAGCCTTGTGAAAATATGAATAATTCTTGGGAGCATTTAATTCATGTCATGGCTATTTGTATTCTCTGACCTTTACCAAGTGATATTTGTATTTATACATCAGGGTTATTACCCTTGTCCTGCAAGGATATTGCAATCAGGTCCGTGTGTGTGTCTGTATTTTTTGTGCACGTATCTCAAAAACTAATAGACAAATGTATACAAAAATTTTACAAGAAATGGGAAATTAGCATCGAACAGTTCTCCCCAAATTTGTTCTGGATATAAATCTGAATCACTTTGAAGCATTTTTTATAATTGGGATATAGGGCATTTTTGTGCTTTTATGTTAATAACTCTGTAAAGTGTAATCGGATTAATACCAAATTTCATGGGCCCATTAAGGTTGAGACTCCTCGTTACCCACAAAAAGTGATTCGGATTGTTGATCATTCTGGATCTGAGAAGGATTTTTCTGAGTTTTCGAAAGTGCAATTTTACGTTATCCAGTATAAATGCACGCAATCTTGAGAAGGAGTGGCAAGGGTATGCAATATATGTGATGACTTTGTTCTCATACGATATCTTGTATTCTTGAGGGTGTCTATTTACTTACTGGTAGGTTATGTATATTAATGACTATAATGTTTCCTTCAGTAATTACAACTATTGAATATTCAACTAGATAGCAGAGTATTAAAAAGTAAAGTTACTAAATACTTATAACAAGCAAGAAATACAAAATACCTGAAATATACACAAGCAGGTAAACTATAACATTACAACATTGTAGATATTAGAAAAGGTTTAAAAATACTAAAAACTGAAGAAAATTGAAAGATTTGAAAATTAATACTCCTTTAAACTTAAAATGGTATGATATCATTAAGTTTGCACCCAAAGTATTGTAGTTTGTTTATTACATATTAAAGAAGTATTGACAACAAATACTGTTTGAAAACATTTTAGATACAATTTTATATATGTACATGATCCACTAGTGGAATAAGTAGATTTAGGTAATAAATACAGTTAATCCAACCACTAACTGTTGTTATATTATATCGTGAAAGCTTGGTCGTAGCTCCAGTCGTAAGTTAGAATGCCAAAATTGTATTTTCCATTGTATTTGTATATTGTAGAGTCTAGGAAATCTTGTCATAATTAATAATAGTTAATATTGTTTTGTTGTGTCTATCTATTTATGTTGTTAAAATGAATTATTATTTATTAGATACTGAGCTCAGCTTTTTAATACTTTTTTCTATAATTAACATGAAAGAAAAGGCTTCCCAGAATTGAAATGTTTAACCATTAGTATTATATACATCTTTAAATGATGCAAGTCCTTGTAATTCTTAAACTTTATAAAAATGTTCTGAAATTGAAATAACAGATGTTTTATTTTAATAACAATACTGAATATCTGGACTTTACAATAATAAGCATTGCAGTATTAAAACACTAACCATCTTGTAGCTACATTAGTATATGTTACAGTGCTAAAGTACCAAACATCTTGTAGCTACATTAATATATATTACACTTATGTGTTATTTTATTAAAATACTAAATGTTTGGAACTTCCATTAGTATATGTTATACTTGATGAGGATACTGAATGTTTTAAAACTATATTACTATATGTTACATTTTATTAAAATACTGAATCAGGATTTTCATTAGGTGTTGGGTAAATTACTCACCTACTTCAGCTAATTAAATTCATCTACCTGGCTACTAGGTTTTAGTTCTGGAGGAACCCAGTCACCAGCATCACTTGAATTGCAACCTTTTTGTGTCTCTATTTGTCTCAAAAAGTTGTTTTTAAATAATTTTGAACTCGGTTTCAAGAGAGTGAAAAGTGATAGCATACAAACAAATATTCCCATCATATGGTCAGCAGTATGTACGTAGTGCCTGTTGTAGAAGTTGTAACTCTTTCGCAAAAATCAACAAGTTTCAAAACTGATGATTTAAATGAAATATTAAGTTTGTAACTTTTGTGTTGTGAGATTATTTTAAAATAAATATATTTTTGAACATTTTATTTTTTTTCTGTGAAGAAAGTAACATGGGTGATTATTAACTTGACAGGAAACAGGATTTTTAGCTTTACTGACAAGGAGGTGGACTTCTTCTTGCCACAGCTAGTTAGTCTTTACATACATCATGCTGATATTGCAGACGTCGTACATGCTTACCTTATCCATAGGTATGTTATAAATTAATGCAGTGTGTTTAGTAACTGAATCCAACTTCTTCACTGTTCATTAGACTAAAATAATAGTGAAACTTTTTCTGTCAAACTTATGGACACTAAGAATGTGAGTAACGTTACGACTGTCAAATTTGTTTTACATTGCCTCCTGTTAATTGAATGTGCCAGTTTTTCTTTTAAAACTCATTCCAAAAATGTAAGATAACCTATGGTATTGTTTCTTACTACTGACAGATTATAGAATGTAGCACAAATCCATAAAATATGGATGTCATAATTTTTATGCTGACTGAAAGCATGTGTAGAAAACTGTATTATTTACATATAAATTACACATTTGATAACTTAGCATGTGAAATCACACTGGTCATCTGGTCAATCACCTGTAAGTATATTAAGGAATGTGGTTAATATCTCTCAAGTAGTGGTTCAACACACAACGGTGTAACACATTAATTAAAATCATGCATGCTTGTTTACCTATTTGTTATTTTCACAGAAAACTGTGCTCTTAGTAAATGGGAATTTGATACAGTAGTAAATGCAAAGCTTGAGAATCGGAAACCACAATTACTTCATTACAGTAATCATGTGTTTAATGAAGACGTGTAGAGGCATTGCTGTAGCCAATAACAAACACTACCTTGACCTGATGGACAACTTGCGAAATAGTAAGGTCATCGTAAGTTATGTTGTTCAGTATCTAAATACGAGTTTGATGAGCCGTTTTAAACCTTCAGTGTTTTTTGATTTGTAGTGGTAGACTGTTTTAGAGCCTCAGCATTTTTGTGGCTTGTGTAAAATTTAACACCAGATTTATTGATTATTTTCAATTAGTTGAACTTATTTAGTTTTTTAAACTGGGCTACGCTTCGTACAACATATAAAAATTTTATAAATTTTGTCGAACTAGCTGACATACCTATTTAATTCAAGGGAAACACATAGGAGAGTCAGATCTGAATAATGCTGACCCCCCGCCCCATGTCTTTTGCTGAGGGTCCTCAGAGTGTGTACAGGTTTTGTGACAATTGATCCAGTGATTTTCCAGTTATAAATGAAAACAGTGCAAGGGGTAAATACAGATGCCTCCTGGAGGGTGACGTCGGATTGGATCAGACCCTGTGTGCTAGCAATATACATTAGTTTCAATCACAGATAGTGATTTATTTTTTATCAGTCCAGACTGCTATACAGAACCTGTGTAGTTGTTAAAGTAATCTTTTTTTTTTTTATCAGATGTAAGAAGAATGCTGACTTCTCACTACAGCTGGTGTGGTTATTGACAGCGTACTGCTCTGATACGAATGCTCCCTTATGCAGAAAGTCTCAAGGAGTGAAACTGAAAAACAGGGTTCTCTTGGAGGAACTTAGGTAATCAGCCATAATAAGATGTGGTTCTGGAAGAAAAAAAAATTAAAACAATTCTAAAGCACTTGAATAGATAGTAGTAAAATAGAATTAGCCTTAAAAATGTCTCTCTATGTTTGATAAAGGTGGTTTACCAAATATCTCTGATATTGGCCTGGCATGGCCAGGTGGTTAGGGTGCTTGACTCACAATCTGAGGGTCATGGGTTCAAATCCTCGTTGCACTAAACATGCTCACCCTTTCAGCTGTGGGGGTGTTATAATGTG